ATGGAGCCCATAACCCGGACCTGTGCCCTGACCGGGAATCGAACCGTGACCTCCTGGTTCCTAGGTTGATGCTCAACCACTGAGCCACGCCGGCCGGGCGACAATAAATAAATAAATATATATATAATTTTTTTTTTTTAAGGAAAGGAAAGACTGTTTGGATCGCTCACGCACCGGGCACTGCGCACACCGTGTCTTACACGCGATTCCGCCGTAATTACTTCTCTGCGAGCAGCCAGGGGGGCCCAGGAGCCACGTGACGGCGGGTACCCCCGCGGGGAGGGGCCGCCACTCCACCTCCGGGAACGCGGCTGCAATCCCAGGGAATCAAATATTTGCCGAGCTGTTCAACATTTCTTCAAATAACACGCCCGGCGCCTCGCAGCGAGGCCGGACGTCTTCATCCTCTACATCGCGCGGCCTCCTCCTGGATGGGCCTCTCGGCTCTTCTGGGAGGAAGGCGCCTGCATGCTCCGCACAGGCCGGGGGGCGGGGGGCACCTGGGTGTGGGCGGAGGGGGGCCCTCCATCCTCTGGGGACGCCAGGGAGCCAGAGGCACACCTGGGACACAGCCAGGCCCAGGGCCCAGCGCGGGCAGGAGGCCGGGTGCCCCTCAGACTTCCTCCTGCTGCTGCCTCCCAGGGCTGCACCCCCCACCCCCCAGCCCGGGTCAGCCTCAGCTTCCTCTCCTATTACAGGGCGACAGCCCGACCTCACAGGCCTGTTTTGGGGTGCTTGTTGTCAAGTGGCAGGGACTTCTGCCCCCTCCCTACCATGGAAGGTAAGAAGGCGGGCCTCCCAGGTGGGGGCCACAGGAGGGGCCGGTGTGGAGCTGGGCCTCTGACCTTGGTCTGTGTTTAAACGGGATCAAATGCTTCCCAGGACGCCCCCTCTGTGAGGGGGGGAGGACACCCCGTAACAGTAACGGAGCTCTCACACCTGCCCTAACCCAGGGCGATGGAACACCCAGCGGAGCAGAGTGAATTTTCGTGTTGTTTTTGCTTATTCTGAAGCCTGTTGGGGGCCCTGAGGCTGGTCGCTGTTCTGGCATTTTTCTTCCCTCATTAAGGAAGGCGCCCCTGGTGGGTTCCCTGTGCCCGGCCTGGAGCCCAAAGTCAATATCGCTGGCGTCCACTTTCCTGCTCGCTGGGTGGAATTAAGAAACAGGCACGTGCCGAAACCGATTTGGCTCAGTGGATAGAGCGTCGTCCTGCAGACTGAAGGGTCCCGGGTTCGATTCCGGTCAAGGGCATGTGCCTGGGTTGCGGGCACATCCCCAGTGGGAGATGTGCAGGAGGCAGCTGATCAATGTTTCTCTCTCATCGATGTTTCTAACTCTCTATCCCTCTCCCTTCCTCTCTGTAAAAAATCAATAAAATATATTTAAAAAAAAAAAGAATCAGGCACGTGTGGGAGAGAGAGGAGCTGGGGAGCCAACAGCTGGGCGTTACTCAAGAATGCCCCATCCTTACCCGCCCGGTGTGGCTCAGGGGTTGAGCATCAACCTATGAACCAAGCGGTCAAGGTTCAATTCCCAGTTAGGGCACAGGCCCGGGTAGCAGGCTCCATCCCCAGTGGGGGGCGTGCAGGAGGCAGCCGGTCCATGATTCTCTCTCATCATTGACGTTTCTATTTCTCTCTCTCTCCCTTCCTCTCTGAAATCAATTAAAAATATATATATTTTTAAAAAGAACACCCCAGTCTTTATTTTGTTAATCCTCGCCGGAGGATATTTTTCCATTGGTTTTAGAGAGAGTGGAAGAGAGAAACATCGATGTGAGAGAAACACAGCGACTGGTTGCCTCCTGCAGGTGCCCCAACCAGGGCCCGGGAGGGGGAGGAGCCTGCCACCAAGATACGTGCCCTTGACCCGAATTGAACCCCGGGAACCATTGGTCCGCAGGCGGACACTCTATCCACTGAGCCACACCGGCCGGGCAAAGCTTTATTTTTCTTGCCAGTTTGGCTAAGAAGCGAGAAGGAACAATAGCTTCAAACCGAAATAATTTGCATTTATGATGAATCCAAGGAATATCTACCTTGCATTTTCCCAAAAAAGAAAAATTAAACCCATTTTTAATTAACTGATAAACTATTAATCAAATTTCTGCAATGTTAGGTGACACATTATTCATTTAGATGGAATGACTGTGAACTTAAACTAATCAAACCTGATTTGCCCTCACAGGCCTGATTGAGAGACGTTTCAGCCAGCGTATACAGAGAGCAGACGCGGGCCTCACCTGATCTCCAGCACACACCGCTGAGTTAATAAGGGCAGTTTTTTTAAATAAAAAAAAAGAAATGAGACCAGCCTTTCTTCATCTGCATATCAAAATCAAGAAGGACTTAATTGCAAAACACATATTCCTGAAATCTAATCATTCCGCGGCTTTAGGGTATTTTATTGAAGCGTGTTAAATTATGGACAGAATATTAATGGGGGAGCTAATCAAACCCAATTAGTCACTTCTAACAATAGCCCCATAAATATACAGGTCGGGGACCGCAGCCCCGTGCCCACGCGGTGGAACCGGTAAGATAGGGAACCTGTGGGGTGTTGACGAAGCCTTCGTGTCGAATTTAAAGCCAAAAATGATTGGTTAGGTCACTTCGACGAAGACCAGTCAGGCAGTGCCCCATGGTGTTTGACAAGAATTCACAAGTTTCACCTGTTTTTCAGGGAAACTCGAATCCAGGACGTCAGCGAGTCTGCGATCAGTCAGTCGGCAGTCGGCAGACCCTAACAGGGTGGCTCACCGCATTCACCACGCAGTCTGTTTCTCCGGCATCTGAAGCCTTTTTTCCGCCTTTTGTTGGGGGCTTCTTCCAGGCCCGGCGGCCATGCCGTCTGAGGGCCAGGCTGAAGGAGCGGAGGGCGGGGTGGGCTGTGTGTGGGTCTGGGGCTTGGTCGTCCACCTGTCTCCTTCCCCCCTCGGGGCAGAGCGGGCAGGGTCCTTGCTACCTGCTGGACTCCCTCCGCCAGTGGAGGCTTTGGGAAAGGGGCTGAAGGGCCTGGGAGTCCCAGCCTTCCTGTGCCGGGTCTTATATATATTTTTATTGATTTTAGAGAGGAAGGTGGGGGGGAGAGAGAGGGACATCAATGATGAGAGATGTTTGCACACCCCACACTGGGAATCGAGCCTGCAACCCGGTATGTGCCCTGACCCGGGAATCGAACTGTGACCTCCTGGTTCATAGGTCAACACTCACCTGACCCCTGAGCCACACCGGCCGGGCCTGTGAGGGGTCTTGGTGGGAGATTTCGGGTCAGAGAGCCAGGCCAAGGCAGAGGTCCTGGGAGTGCCCCCTGCAGAGACTCCCTCTGCTTCTTTCTTTTCTTTTTTTTTAAAGATATGTTTTTATTGATTTTAGAGAGAGAGGAAGGGAGAAGGAGAGAGAGAGAGAGAGAGAAACATCGATGTGAGAGAGAAACATCCATCAGCTGTCTCCTGCACGTACCCGTACCAGGGATTGAACCACAACCTGGATATGTGCCCTGACCGGAATCAAACCGGTGACCTTTTGGTTCATGGGTTGATGCTCAACCAACGCAGCCACACCGGCCAGCGCCCTGCTTCTTTTCAGGCCTGGCGGGATGGCCCAGACGCCAGCAGCCACATCTGCTGGACTGTGGTTTCACCAGGGAGTGGATCCCAGCCATGCCCACCCCGCGGTCAGGGGGCTGCAGACCTCACAGTTCCCTCTGCTGCTCGGCCCTCTTCTGGGTCCTGTCCAGACCCCTCTGTCCCCTCTCCGGGTCCCCATGGGACAGCTCCACAGCCACAGCGCCTACATCTTCTCTCTGCCGGCCTCTGAGGGAGGGGGGTGGCCATCCTTCCTGTCTCCCTCCCCTGTGGGGAACTGATATAGGGTTAAGCCTCGGACTGACCTGTGGGCAAAGACAAAAACAATTCCCAGCTTAGAGAGCACAGTCCTCTTAGCATAATTAGGCTTGACCTTGTATAAAGCTCCCTAGATCTTACTCGGGAAGCTAATGGGCTGAGGGAAGTGCAACAAGAACAAAAACAAGTGAAACTTACAAGAGCAGTGTAAACAAGTGAAACAAGAACAAAAATAAGTGAAACTTACAACAGTGTAACTTACTGTGTAACTATGGAAACCACTACCTTGTTTACCGCTCACTATAAAATAAAGGCTCAGCTTGCCTTGGGATCTTTTCTCTGTGGCCTCAGCCAGGCACAGGAAGATCCACGGAGGCTAAGGAAAGCTAGAGAGTTCTGAACGCTGTCTCCGTGTAAAACCTTCTTCGCCGACTCCGTCCACACCTTTGGGAACCCCTGGACCCCATGGGGCTGGACCCCAGCATATGGCGCCCGAACAGGATTCCCCTAGGTAAGACCCCCCGCACTCGGGACGGATAGGACTCCACCATAGGGTGCTGCAGACCCCCCTATAGAGGATAAGTAGGGTAAGTGGGTGGATAGTACAGAACTTAGATTGAGAAGATGTGCCATACTTAGTCTAGAAGAAAGAAGACTCTGTATTGATCTTTAGAATGAGAAGATGTGCCATACTGAGTCTAGAAGAAAAAAAAGACTCCGTATTGATCTTTTAACGTGTCCATGCTTTTCTGAGGAAGGAAAGGTGCCGGAAAGGTAAATGTAAAGGCATGGGAGAAGGTAGGCCCAAGGAGCCTTATCCTTAAACCCACTGCAGCCTTTCCACCCCGGGAAAGTGCAGGATTGGCAAGCTCTCCCTGGGGTGATAGATCAGGACTCAGGTAATCGCGGAAAGCACCAATCCTACTCTTAAAATGGATACAAGAGAGCATTTGAGGTTTTTCTTTTTAATGCCTGTTTTGGATTGAGTAAGTGGATTTTACTTAGTTTTAACATATCAAAGTTAGCTCTTGACACAAATGGAAAAACTAACAGTTTGGCTTGAAGTTGGGGTTTTGTTTTGAGGTGCTGAGGCTCGGGGGTGGAGCCAATTCACGGTAGAAATGTGAAGCTGCAGCTTTTGGGGTTGAAGTGGGAAGTTGAGAATACAGAGGAGTATGTATGTTTATATATGGTCAGAATTCCATCAATATAAACCTTGTCTATAAAAACAAAAAAGGGGGAGAAGAATGTTATATGTTAAATTTTTAAAAATACGATGCAGAGGGTTGTACAGCAGCCAAAAAGCATCGGGCCTCCTGTACAATAGCCTCTGCCGACTCAGCCTGGTAGAAGGATACACAAACGAGACAAGAGTTTTACCAGATCTAGTAATGATGTGGGGAAGAGGTTGTGTTTTATATCTTTCCAGAAGGAGCAGCCTCTGCCTCCCTCCTGGGGACCGTCACGCCTGGGAGGCCAAGCTAGCACGCCTGACCAGTGCCCATCTGCAGCTTATGTGCAGCCCTGAGCTGGAACAACCTGTCCATTGGGAGGATCATATGTGCCTCCTTTTTGTCTGTCCTTATGTTCCAGCTTTGCCCCACATCTCCTATCCTTTTTCTTTTTTTCTTAATCTGACTACTTGTTTGCTGGTTCTTTGGCCTTTCTCCTTCTCTCCTGAACACAGCCTTTTCTAGAATCTCCCTACCCTACTGTTCCAGGAAGGGCACCTCCCCTTTCTGCCGTGACTGGGGGTGTTTGGTATATGCCCCATACGTGAAGTTGTCTTGTGCCAAGAGCCTGACATCCTGGGCTGAGAAAACCCTGTCCCGGGACTCTCCTTTGTCCTATATTGGCCCCTCTTGCCCTTGTGTCAAGAGGGACCCTCTTCTCACAATCCAATTGCCCACAGCTGTTGCCTGAGTTCTCTGTTAAA